TTCCGTCTTCAATATGTACAGTACAGTACATATCATCTCGTCGAGTATTCGCCACCAGTTTCGTCTTGTATGTACAGTTGCCAGTTACATATCCGCAGCATCGACTTTTACCCAGCAGTCTACTCCACCTGACCATGAAAACAGTGCACTGGTGTATGAATATTTCGACGTGGGTGGAGTGCGTGGGTTTTTCGGGGTGGGTGCCTGCCACCGTGCCTGCCTGGGTGTGTACCTTCTTGGAACGTGCCTGCCTGTTAAGCGTGGCTGCTTGCGGTGCGTATTCATACACAAGTCGTCAGTATTGACGTGGGTAGACTCGTGGTTGTACAGTACAGTACATATCATCGTCGAGTATTCACTTCGTAATTCCGTCTTGTATGTACAATTACGAGTACATATCATCGTCCCAGTATTCACTGCAGTTCCGTCTTGTAGCGTAATGTACCAGTACATATCATCGTCCGAGTATTCACTGCAGTTCCGTCTTGTATGTGTACAGTACAGTACGTATCATCGTCCGAGTATTCACTTTCTGCAGTTCCGTCTTGAATGTACAGTACAGTACATATCATCGTCCGAGTATTCACTGCAGTTCCGTCTTGTATGTACAGTACAGTACATATCATCGTCCGAGTATTCACTGCAGTTTCGTCTTGTATGTACACAGTACAGTACATATCATCGTCCGAGTATTCACTGCAGTTCCGTCTTGTATGTACAGTACAGTACATATCATCGTACGAGTATCCACTTGGCGATTCCGACTTTTAATGTACAGTACAGTACATATCACTCCACATCACGACCATTACCCAGCAGTCTACTCGTCTGAATATGAAAACAGCAAACTGGTGCAGCGAAAGACTGACTTCGGGTGGGTGCGTGGGTTTTTTCAGGAGTCGCCTACGTGCCTGCCTGGGTGTGTGTGCCTTCTTGGAACGTGCCTGCCTGGTTAGCGCAAGCTGCTTACATGCGTATTCATACACAGGATTTTCTGTTTTGATAGCCAATGGAGTAGACTCGTGGTTAGAAGTAATGATGACATACGTTGAATAACTAAAGAGGCTCCGTCTTGTATGTACAGTACAGTACATATCATCGTCCGATTATTCACTGCAATTCCGTCTTGTATGTACAGTACAGTACATTTTATCGTCGAGAAAGTATTCTGCAGTTCCGTCTCGATGTACAATACAGTACAGTACATATCATCGTCCGAGTATTAATTGCAGTTCCATCTTGGATATGTACAGTACAGTACATATCATCGTCCGAGTATTCACTGCAGTTCCGTCTTGTATGTACAGTACAGTACATATCATCGTCCGAGTGTTTACTGCAGTTTCGTCTTGGATGTACAGTACAGTACATATCCACTTGGCATCACGACTTTTTACCAAGGGTTTACTGCACTGACCTTGAAAACAGCAAACTGGTGTATGAATATTTCGACGTGGGTGGGTGCGTGGGTTGATATGTAAGGGGTGGGTGGCCTGCCTACGATGCCTGCCTGAGTGTGTACCTGCTTGGAGCGTGCCTGCCTGTTAGCGTGCCTGCCCGCATGCGTATTCGTACACAAGTTTTCTGTTTTGATAGCCAATGGAGTAGACTCGTGGTTAGAAGTAATGATGACATACGGAATAACTAAAGAGGCTCCGTCTTGTATGTACAGTACAGTACATATCATCGTCCGATTATTCACTGCAATTCCGTCTTGTATGTACAGTACAGTACAAACCATCGTCCGAGTATTCACTGCAGTTCCGTCTTGTATGTACAGTACAGTACATATCATCGTCCGAGTATTCACTGCAGTTCCGTCTTGTATGTACAGTACAGTACATATCCACTTGGCATCACGACTTTTTACCCAGGGTCTACTCCACTGACCATGAAAACAGCAAACTGGTGTATGAATATTTCGACGTGGGTGGGTGCGTGGGTTGGTTCGGGGGTGGGTGCCTGCCTACGTGCCTGCCTGGGTGTGTACCTGCTTGGAACGTGCCTGCCTGTTAGGGTGGCTGCCCGCATGCGTATTCATACCCAAGTTTTCTGTTTTGATAGCCAATAGGTAGACTCGTGGTTAGAAGTAATGATGACCGTTGATGCGCATTCAAGAGGCAAGTTTTCGTGCTTGGTAAGCCATATCATCGTCGAGTATTCACTGCAATTCCGTCAAGTATGTACATTACAGTACAAACCATCGTTGAAGTATTCACTGCAGAGGCTCCGTCTTACCTTCATGTACAATTGCAGGTACATATCATCGTCCGATTAGTCACTGCAATTCCGTCTTGTAATGTACAATACAGGTACATATCATCGTCCGAGTATTCACTGCAGTTCCGTCTTGTATGTACAGTACAGTACATATCATCGTCCGAGTATTCACCGCAGTTCCGTCTTGTATGTACAGTACAGTACATATCATCGTCCGAGTATTCACTGCAGTTTCGTCTTGTATGTACAGTACAGTACATATCATCGTCCGACTATTCACCCAGAAAGTTCCGTCTTGTATGAAAACAGCAAACTGGTACGGTGTATCATCGTCCGAAGGGTGGTTGCCTGCTACGTGCCTGCCTGGGTGTGTACCATATGGAACGTGCCTGTTTAGCGTGGCTTGTATTCATACACAGTTTTCGAGTTTTGATAGTAATCGTAGACTCGTGGATAAGTCATGATGACATACGTTGAATAATAAAGAGGCGTCTTGTAATGTACGGTACGGTACGTCTATCATCGTCCGAAGTATTCACTGCAGGTTCCGTCTTGTAATATTTCGACGAGTACGGTACATATTATCGTCGGGGTATTCACTGCCGGTTTCGTCTTGGATGTACAGTACACTACGTAACTCATCGTCCGTGTATTCACCGCAGTTCCGTCTTGTAGTAGTACAGGTACACGTACTTATCATCGTCCGAGTATTCACTGCGGTTCCGTCTTGTGATGTACAAGTACGGTACATATCATCGTCCGAGTAATCACTGCAGTTTCGTCTTGGCATATGTACAATTACAGGTATATCATCGTCCGAGTATTCATGCAGTTGTTCCGTCTTGTATGTACCAGTACAGCTAAAATATCATCGTCGAGTATTCACTGCAGTTCAGATGTGGCGTCTTGGTGCATCATCGTATCAGTACATGTACATATCATCGTCCGAGTATTCACTGCAGTTCCGTCTTGTATGTACAATGCAGTACATAATCATCGTCCGAGTATTCACTGCAGTTCCGTGTTACAACATGTACAGTACAGTACATATCATCGTCCGAGTAATCGCTGCAGTTTCAGCCCTTGCAATGTACAGTACAGTACACATAATCACTTAGCATCACGAGTATTCCCAGCGGTTTCGTCTTGTATGAACAGTACAAGTGGTGTATCAATCGTCCGACGTGGGTCGCACTGCGCGTGGGTTTGTCGGGGTACAGGTGCAGTTCGTATCATCGTCCTGTCCTGGGCGTGTACCTTCGTCCGGAACGTTCCTAGGACGTATAGTGGATGTACGCATACCGGTTCATAATCATCTGTTCAGATATTCAATGTAGTAGACTCTTGGCGTACAGTACCGAGGGTGCATATCATCGTCCGAGTAACTAACTGCAGTTTCGTCTTGTATGTACAGTACAGTACATATCGTCGTCCGAGTTTTTCACTGCGGTTCCGTCTTGTATTTACAATTGTTACAGTGCATATCATCGTCCAACCACTGCGGTTCCGTCTTGTATGTGCGGTACAGGTACATATCATCGTCGTGTATGTATTCGCCGCAGTTCAGTGTTGTTATTCGTACAGCCTCAGTACAGTGCGCATCGTCATCAGTATTCACTGCAGTTCCGTCTTATATGTGGTGTACAGTGCATATATCATCGTCAGTATTCACTGCGGTTCTCGTGTTGATAGCCACGGAGTAGACCGTACCAGTACACATATCGTCGTCAGTAGTCACTGCAGTTCCCGTCTTGTATGTACAGTACGAAGTACATATCATCGTCCCAGTATTCACTGCAGTTCCGTCTTGTACGTACAGTACGAGTTCCATATCATCGTCCGAGTATTCACTGCGGTTCCGTCTTGTAATGTACAGTACGGTACATATCATCGTCTGAGTATTCACCGCAGTTCAGAGTCTTGGCAATGTACCAGTTACAGTACATATCATCGTCCGAGTATTCGTGCAGTTTCTAGATGTGGTAGCACATTGCAATTATATATCGTCGTCCGAGCATTCACTGCAGTACCGTCTTGTATGTACATTGCAGTTAGCTGCGATCATCGTCCGATTATTCACTGCAGTTTTTCGTCTTGTATAGTATAATGGAGTACACTCATTGGTTAGAGTAATTCACATACGTTGAGTAACTAAAGGGCTCCGTCTTGTATGTACAGTACAAAGTACATATCATCGTCATCATTATTCACCGCAGTTCCGTCTTGTATGTGTACCAGTACAGTACAGCATTTTATCGTCCGAGTATTCGACTGCAGTTCCGTCATGTATGTCACAGTACGGTAAGTACGCTTATCATCGTCCTGGGTGTATTCATTGCAGTTCCGTCTTGTGTACAGTACAATGCGTATCATCGTCACAGTATTCACTGCAGTTCCGTCTTGTATGTAATCGGTTAGAAGTACATATCATCGTCCAGTAGTCACTGCAGTTCCGTCTTGTATGTACAGTACAGTACATATCATCGTCGCATCATCATTCACTGCAGTTTACGTCTTGTAAGCACAGTGGTGAATACATATTGCACGTCGTCAGAGTATTCACTGCAGTTTGCCTACGTCTCCTGAGTGTACCTGCTTGGACAATGCCTTCAGTAGCATATCGTCGCGTCCGGTATTCACTTTTGATAGCCAATGGAGTAGATCTGGTTAGTAATGATGACATAGTACTAAAGAGGCTCCGTCTTGTAATGTACGGTAGTACATATCATCGTCCGAGTATTCACTGCAGTTTCGTCTTGTATGTACAGTACAGTACATATCATCGTCCGAGTATTCACTGCAGTTCCGTCTTGTATGTACAGTACAGTACATATCATCGTCCGAGTATTCACTGCAGTCCGTCTTGTATGTACAGTTACGCTATACTTGGCATCACGTTTTTACCCGGGTCTACTGACCATGAAAACAGCAAACTGGTGTATGAATATTTCGACGTGGGTGGGTGCGTGGGTTGGTATGAGGGTGGGTGCCTGCCTACGTGCCTGCCTTCCGTGTGTACCTGCTTGGAATGATGCTCGCCTGTTAGGATTGGCTGCCCGGCCGCGTACCATACCCATGTTTTCTGTTTTGATAGCCAATGGAGTAGACTCGTGGTTAGAAGTAATATGACATACGTTGAATAACTAAAGAGGCCCCGCGTCTTGTATGTACAGTACAGTACATATCATCGTCCGAGTATTCACTGCAGTTTCGTCTTGAATGTACAGTACAGTACATATCATCGTCCGAGTATTCACTGCAGTTCCGTCTTGTATGTACAGTACAGTACATATCATCGTCCGAGTATTCACTGCAGTTCCGTCTTGTATGTACAGTAATAGCACATGCATATCATCGTCAGTATCTCACTGCAGTTCCGTCTTGTGTATGATGTACAGTGGGGTGGTATGTGTTGTCTGGGGGGTATCATCGTCCAGTATTCACCCGCAGTTCCGTCTTGTATTCATACCCAAGTTTTCTGTTTTACAGTACATATCATCGTCGAGTATTCCAAGAGTTTCGTCTTGTATGTACAGGTACAGTACATATCATCGTCCGAGGCTATTCACTGCAGGGTTCGTCTTGTGACCATGAAAAGCAGTACAAACCATGGTCCGATGAATATTCGATTTGGGTGGTCGTGGGTTTGTACGAGGTACAGTTCATATCATCGTCCGATTAGTCACTGCCGTACCAGCTTGTAAGGTGCGGTGCTTATATCGTCGTCCCCGCAGCGTATTCACTGCAGTTTTCGTGCCAGATGAGCCAATGCACAGACTGCGTGGTAGAAATAATCATCGATCCGGTGAATCACCGCAGTTCCGTCTTGTATGTACAGTACAGTACATATCATCGTCCGAGTTTTCACTGCAGTTTCGTCTTGGCATGTGTACAGTACCGAGGCATACATGTACCCATCGTCAGCAGTATGAATCACGTGCAGTTCCGTCTTGTATGTACAATGCCTTGTTAGCAGTACATATCATCGTTTTGATAGCCAATGGAGTGAGTAGAAGTAATGATGGCCATTACGTTGAATAACCCGTCTTTGCTCCGTCTTGTATGTACAGTACGGTACATATCATCGTCACCAAGTATTCACTGCAGTTCGGTCTTGGATGTACAGTACAGAAATACATTATATATCGTCCGAGTATTCACTGCAGTTCCGTCTTGCCATATGTACACCGCAGCCGTTCTCCTATGTACAGTAGAGTACATATCATCGTCAGAGTATTCACTGCAGTTCCGTCTTGTATGTACAGTACAGTACATATCATCGTCCGAGTATTCACTGCAGTTTCGTCTTGAATGTACAGTACAGTACATATCATCGTCCGAGTATTCACTGCAGTTCCGTCTTGTATGTACAGTACAGTACATATCATCGTCCGAGTATTCGCTGCAGTTTCGTCTTGTATGTACAGTACGATTACATATCATCGTTCGATCGTCACTCCAGGTGTTCCATGTACACTGCAGTACAGTTCCGTCTTATTCACTGTAGTTCGGTACATGTACTGGTACAGTACATCGACGTCCGAGTATTCATTGCAGTTCCGTCTTGTATGTACAGTACGGTACAGTACATATCATCGTCGAGTATTCACTGCAGTTCCGTCTTGTATGTACAGTACAGTACATATCATCGTCCGAGTATTCGTCACTGCAGTTCCGTCTTGGATGTACAGTACAGTACATATCGTCGAGTTACTGCAGTATCACTTGATGTACACATACAATACACTTTCTTGGCACAATGACTTCTTACTGTTTACTGTACGGACCTGAAAACAGCAAACTGGTGTATGAATATTTCGACGGGTGGGTGCGGTTGGTATGGGTGGTACCTGGTACGTGCCTGCCCTTATAGTATGCCCGCTTTGAGCGCCACGGTTATTAGCGTGCCCCTGCTCCCGCATGCGTATTCATAATAATAAAGATTTCTGTTAGTGATGCCACTGGAGTAGACGTGGTTGTAGCCAATATGACATACGGAATAACTAAGTTTTCCGGGCCTTATATGTACAGTACAGCACATATGGATTATTCACTGCAATTCCGTCTTGTATGTACAGACCGAGTACATGATCATCGTCCGAGTATTCACTAAAGTTCCGTCTTGTATGTACAGTACAGGTGCATATCATCGTCCGAGTATTCACTGCAGTTCCGTCTTGTATGTACAGTACAGTACATAATCATCGTCCGAGTATTCACTGCAGTTCCGTCTTTAGCAAGCTGTTACGGGTACGTGTCCGGTATTCGCTGCGGTTTCGTCGCCGGATGTAAAGTACGATATCATCGTCCCAGTATTCACTGCAGTTCCGTCTTGTATGTACAGTACAGTACATATCATCGTCCGAGTATTCACTGCAGTTCCGTCTTGTATGTACAGTACAGTACATATCATCGTCCGAGTATTCACTGCAGTTCCGTCTTGTATGCACAGTACAGTACATATCATCGTCCGAGTATTCACTGCAGTTCCGTCTTGTATGTACATGTACCCAGTACGGTTACGTATCATCGTCTGAGTATTCACTGCAGTTCCATCTTGAGATATGTACAGTACAGTTCATATCATCGTCCAGGTATTCACCCACCAGTTCCGTCTTGGTAATGTACGAGGTACAGTATATATCATCGTCCGAGTATTCACTACAGTTCCGTCTTGAATGTACCGTACGGTTCTATCATCGTCAGTTTTCACTGCAGTTTCGTCTTGTATTTAATGCAGCTTCTTATATCGAAAAGTACAGTACTGATCATGCCGTTGGAATTGCGTTAATGCGGAGTGCTTCTTGTATCTACAGTACATGTCATATCGTCCAGTATTTGATATTGTTCCGTCTTGTATGTGAGTACATATCATATCGTTGTAGTTAATGCAGTTGTGCACGTCGATTCCTTCTTGCCATCACGCAAATTATCCATGGGTCTGGCTGTTATAAAATTATCGTTTAATATTGCCGCATGCCTTCCTGGGTGCCTTCCTGCTTGCGTGCCTGCTTTTAAGGTAGATATATCATCGATCGAGTATTCACTGCAGTTCCGTCTTATCGTTGACCATATCATCGTCGAATTGGAGACTGCAGTTTATGAAGACTCCAAGCGGTAATAAAGAAACCAATTTAGAAATCAAAATTTGAAATGTGTGTCTTGGTCAGTGCTGGAACTGCTGCGAAGTATGGCTACAGGTGCCGAATAGCTGCATCACTGCGTTGTTTCAAAGTAATCTTTGAGACTGTCGCCGACAGCCTTCTATTTCCTCATGTATTAGTTTCATTAGCTGATTAGTTAGATTAGTTTCATTAGCTGATTAGGTTAGTTTCATTAGCTCATTAGCTAGTTTCATTGATTAGTTTCATTAGCTAGATTAGTTTCATTAGTTAGATTAGTTTCATTAGATTAGTTTCATTAGCTAGATTAGTTTCATTAGATTAGTTTCATTAGCTAAGATTAGTTTCATTAGCTAGATTAGTTTCATTAGATTAGCTCACTAGCGTAGATTAGTTTCATTAGCTAGTTTCATTAAGATTAGTTTCATTAGCTAGATTAGTTTCATTAGTTAGATTAGTTTCATTAGCTGATTAGTTTCATTAGTTTCAGATTAGTTTCATTAGCTAGATTAGTTTCATTAGCTAGATAAGTTTCATTAGTTAGATTAGTTTCATTAGCTAGATTAGTTTCATTAGCTAGATTAGTTTCATTAGCCATTAGTTCATTAGATTAGTTTCATTAGCTAGATAGGTTAGTTAGTTTCATTAGCTAGATTAGCTAGTTTTTCATTAGCTAGATTACATTAGTTTCATTAGATTAGTTTCATTAGCTAGATTAGTTTCATTAGATTAGATTAGTTTCATTTCAGTTAGATTAGTTTCATTAGATTAGTTTCATTAGATTAGTTTCATTAGATTAGTTTCATTAGCTTAGATTAGTTTCATTAGCTTAGATTAGTTTCAGATTAGTTTCATTAGATTAGTTTCATTAGCTAGATTAGATTTTTCATTAGCTAGATTAGTTTCATTAGTTTCATTAGAGATAAGTTTCATTAAGATTAGTTTCATTAGCTAGATTAGTTTCATTAGATTAGTTTTCATTAGCTTAGATTAGTTTCATTAGATTAGTTTCATTAGCTAGATTAGTTTCATTAGAGATTGGTTTCATTAGTTTCATAGATTAGTTTCATTAGATAAGTTTCATTAGATTAGTAATGATTCATTAGCTAGATTAGTTTCAGATTAGTTTCATTAGCTAGATAAGTTTCATTAGATTAGTTTCATTAGCTAGATTAGTTTCATTAGCATTAGATTAGTTTCATTAGTTCTAGATTAGTTTCATTAGCTAGATAAGTTTCATTAGAGATAAGTTTCATTAGCTAGATTAGTTTCATTAGCATTAGAGATTAGTTTCATTTCATTAGATTAGTTTCATTAGCTAGATTAGTTTCATTAGCTAGATTAGTTTCATTAGTTAGATTAGTTTCATAGATTAGTTTCATTAGCTTAGTTTCATAGATTTTTCATTAGCTAGATTAGTTTTCATTAGCTAGATAAGATTAGTTTCATTAGCATAGATTAGTTTCATTAGAGATTAGTTTCATTAGATTAGATTAGTTAGATTAGCTAGATTAGTTAGTCATTAGTTCATTAGATTAGTTTCATTAGCTAGATTAGTTTCAGATTAGTTAGTTAGATTAGTTTCATTAGATTAGTTTCATTAGCATTAGATTAGTTTCATTAGCTAGATTTCCATTAGATTAGTTTCATTAGTTTTAGTTTCATTAGATAGAATAAGTTTCATTAGATTAGTTTCATTAGCTAGATTTTCAGTTTCATTAGTTAGATTAGTTCATTAGATTAGTTTCATTAGATTAGTTTCATTAGCTAGATTTCATTAAGATAAGTTTCATTAGCATTAGATAAGTTCCATTAGTTTCATTAGCTAGATTAGTTTCATTAGCTAGATTAGTTTCATTAGATTAGTTTCTTAGATAGTTTCAGTTTCATTAGCTAGATTAGTTTCATTAGATTAGTTTCATTAGCTAGATTAGTTTCATTAGCTAGATTAGTTTCATTAGCTAGATTAGTTTCATTAGATTAGTTTCATTAGCTAGATTAGTTTCATTAGATTAGTTTCATTAGTTAGATTAGTTTCATTAGCTAGATTAGTTTCATTAGATTAGTAAGTTTCATTAGATTAGTTCATTTTTTAGATTAGTTTCATTAGCTAGATTAGTTTCATGAGCTCGATTAGTTTCACTAGATCAGTCCATTAGTTAGATTAGCTAGATTAGTTTCATTAGCTAGATTAGTTTCATTAGCTAGATTAGTTTCATTAGTTAGATTAGTTTCATTACATTAGTTTCATTAGCTAGATTAGTTTCATTAGATAAGTTTCATTAGATTAGTTTCATTAGCTAGATTAGTTTCAATAGCTAGATTAGTTTCATTAGATTAGTTTCATTAGCTAGATTAGTTTCATTAGATAAGTTTCATTAGATTAGTTTCATTAGCTAGATTAGTTTCATTAGCTAGATTAGTTTCATTAGCTAGATTAGTTTCATTAGCTAGATAAGTTTCATTACATTAGTTTCATTAGCTAGATTAGTTTCATTAGCTAGATTAGTTTCATTAGCTAGATAAGTTTCATTAGATTAGTTTCATTAGTTAGATTAGTTTCATTAGCTAGATTAGTTTCATTAGCTAGATAAGTTTCATTAGATTAGTTCATTTTTTAGATTAGTTTCATTAGCTAGATTAGTTTCATGAGATTAGTTTCATTAGATCAGTTCATTAGTTAGATTAGCTAGATTAGTTTCATTAGCTAGATTAGTTTCATTACATTAGTTTCATTAGTTAGATTAGTTTCATTAGCTAGATTAGTTTCATTAGTTAGATTAGTTTCATTAGTCAGATTAGTTTCATTAGCTAGATTAGTTTCATTAGCTAGATTAGTTTCATTAACTAGATAAGTTTCATTAGAATAGTTTCATTAGCTAGATAAGTTTCATTAGATTAGTTTCATTAGTTAGATTAGTTTCATTAGATTAGTTTCATTAGATTAGTTTCATTAGCTAGATTAGTTTCATTAGATTAGTTTCATTAGCTAGATTAGTTTCATTAGATTAGTTTCATTAGCTAGATAAGTTTCATTAGATTAGTTTCATTAGTTAGATTAGTTTCATTAGATTAGTTTCATTAGCTAGATTAGTTTCATTAGATTAGTTTCATTAGTTAGATTAGTTTCATTAGCTAGATTAGTTTCATTAGCTAGATAAGTTTCATTAGATAAGTTTCATTAGTTAGAT